ATGGCGATATGATATAATGATATAATATTATGATGATCGTATATTTCGGGTAAATCCAAAGAACCTATTTTCAAACCTATTATTATGTGTAAAAAAAAAGGTATATTGAGTCGGGGGGAAAGTCCAGTGCCGTTAAGATTCCCGGGGGAAAAAGCACGGGGGGGGGGAACGTACAGGTACCCTAACTTAACGACTGCCGGGCGGCCGTGACCAAGATGCCTCTCTGTACAACACTACAACGGCCAGGGTGGGAATTGCTGGATCAGCAGATTCCTGCTGGAGCGTCCGGTCCCGTAGTCACGTACGCCAGTATACATATCATATTACTGTAGGTACTAATAACTATATGCTAAACTTACATATAACAAGCTTCCATTAGTAACCAGAATTTTCACTGCTGAAAATTATGCAATCTATGAAGGGGTAAGACTGGCAAACACCCTAAAATCAGATGATATACTTATAATTAGCGACTCCCTTAGCGCCTTATAAGCTCATATAAACTTACCCACCAAAAACGAAATATCCCTAAACATTCAAACAAAATTAATCGAAAAAATAAATATAGAATTCATGTGGGTCCCTTCCCTCGCTGGTATTGCAGGAAATGAAAGCTGACAAAAATGCTGACCTCGCAACCAAAAATATTCCAACCTAACCTCTACTTTAAATAACATCCCGTCTAATGACATAATAAACTCTATTAGTAAAAAGTTCTCTTATTTTGGTAAAAAAAATGGAATTAAACATTCAATAAACTCAAAAATGTCGAAAAACAATCAAAAAATGGCACACCCCGCCTCATTTCAACAGACGTCAAGATACCCGCATCAGAATTGGACATTCGCATCTCACATCCTCACATCTAATAAGCAAAGAGCCCCAATCAAAACGCGATACATGCAACCAAATACACACCATCGAACATAAAGAGGGGGGGTGCACACAATACACCTCAACACGCACAGATCTGAACATGCCATCAAACGTTGCAGAAGCACTCAACGAATATCAAACCTAAAAAATCGTTGCATTTTTAAATATTACTAATATTATTAAAAAACTGGAAATTCAAATACAAAAATGTAGTCATTATTTTCTCCTAAACGTAAAACCTAATTTTAAGAAACATCAGTACAATGTAAAACATTTATAGGCTAATAACCTTCGCTGTTGAAGTCTTTATCCTTTGAATAAAAAAAAAAGAACTTAATATGGTTTGAGCCTCCTCTGCTATTGGTTAAACAAGAAAAAAATATACTAAATATAGGTTATTCAAAAAATTGGTAGGTCATCATTAAAGAGAAAGATGAACTTCTATATGATAATATTAAATATCATTTTTGTAACTATACTGTATTTGCACGTTATATTATTAATCGTAGAATAGGTGCGGATTCAGTGAGTGCAGTCTTGGTGCCTTTAGGACTTGAAAAAACGAAAAATATTGAAAAATTGAAACCACAAAATATTATAATATATTATTATGCATTTATAAGATCATCTTTGTTTTGATCAGAATGATACGTTAATTACTTACTTACAGCATAAGTCGAACTATGTATTATTGTATTAATACATCTTCAGGGTTGATTAAAAATAATTATGTATAACACATGCGACATGCCTACTTTATTAACTACAATAGTTTAAAAATCCTGCACCGGATAAATTTACTTTAGCAGTTTAGCTCATACAATAATGTTGATGACTCAGTAGTTAGTTGTAAATGATACCCAGTAAGATGTAACCCATTAATAACAAATTTAAACTTAGTTATATTTTATATTATTTTTAAACCCATTTTAGAGGTTAAAATAGGCTAATATTTTAACTTAAGTTAAAACATTAGTTGAGAGGGATAACCATAAATTAAACTGGTTACATTTACCTGTAGTACAGAAAATGCTTAAGGAACATTATTTTGTTTCATTAACATGTAAAAATATGTCAACGATATTAATGAAGTTATGTTTATATTTGATGTAGACAAATTGAAAAACAATGTATTTATTTTTATGACTAGACAAATATAAAATATTTTTAAGGTCATATCGGAGTATGACAATATAAAATAAAAATTTTGAAAACTATAGTAATATTAATAAATAATAATTAAATAGTATAATCCAATACAAACACGTTAAAACGTAATTTTCGTAATATTATTTTCAACTAATTCTTTAGTAAGACTTATGATATAACAATTCAGTCTGTTAAAATCGAATTTGGCATTTCACAAATCTTACATTATCGATTAGTCAAAAGTAAAAAATTTAAATTACGAT